GATCTTTAAGGTCCCTTCCAACCCAAACCATTCTGTGATTCTATGAAATAGTCATAGAAGTCAGAGACCTAAAATTGTGGTGATAGCTGTATGCAGCCACTTCATGCACCTGTGACTGCAAACTGGTGCATTTGTAACATATTCTGGAGATGTGTTTGTAAGCCTTGCTCTTCTGAGGGTTTATACACTTGCCTTTTGGCTAAATCAGATTTAGTTTTGTGGCTCTCCCATGTGAAGCTGCCATCTCAGTCCCACTAGAGGGCATCTCTTCCCTCAGTACATGCTTATGCTGCCTGATTTCAAGGGAGTCCATTTTAAAGATTGAGTTGCATCAAGGAGTTAATAGATAAGTAGCCCTGCCACAGACTCTTGCATGTTAAAGCTGGGTTGTTTTCCAAAACTGATTAGTCTTTTAGCAGTGTTGCTCTTGTTGCAACTGTGACATTTGTAAATGAAAGTTGGAAGTAGAGAGTGAACTGCAAAACCTTTTGTATAGTGTGGTTTGTGTGGGTTTTGTTGGTTTTTTTTTCTTTTTTTTAGCAAAGTATGCTCTGATCACGTTTACTGTACAGGAGAACAGACAGATGCTTTATTCAATCTTGTACTTGGTGCTAGCTTTTTTGTACAGCAGATCATCCCCCTACAAAAATGGCCAATGTTTATTGCCTGACACTTTTTTCCTGTGCAAAGTTGTGTGTGGGGCATCTCTGTTGCAGGTCTACGGAAACAGCTCTAGTCTTTTTTTTTTTTTTAATTACTGTTTAAAAAGAGCAACTGGCACTTTTATACAGTTCAGCTGGGTCTGGATGGTGGTTATCTGTTCAGTGGGGACTGTGGCTGTGTCAAGTCCATCCTAATTTATCTTCTGACTACTGGTTACTAAGAAGTTACATTCACCGATTACATAAAAGTAGTATTGCCAGACTTGGAACAGTTATGTTCAGTCACTCTATAGGCTGGCATGACTCTATTTTAGTAATTAACCCCCCAGTATAAGTCCCTTAACTGGCTGTTGTTTTTCTAGGGCTTTGCTGGCGGAAGGGTAGGCTTGTAGCAACAAGTCACTGAGAGATGTCACCTTGTGCTGCACGGGATTTATTGTTTACAACATGAAATAAAGTGAGGTTGCAGGATGTGTTGGCAAGTTTTTGGAGAGGTATTGTGCATGGTCTTGTGGGAGGTATGAACTGTTTTGGCAGAAGAGAGATGAAGTTTTCTTTGAGCTTATGACAGCCAAGGACTCCTTGGGCACAGAAGCTGCGACTGCTTGTATAGCCACAGTCTGCGTGATTTCTTTCCATTATGAAAAGGTTTTTTGGTGAAACTGGAAATACTTTATTCACTATCTGGAACTTGGAGGATATATCATTAACTTTGTCTATTTCTGATGTTATTCCTTTCAGGACTTGCCTTAGTTGACAAAATATGTTTGCCTTTATCTGAATATAGACACTAATAGGGTAAGGAATATCACAAATCACTTGGAATAAAATTTTCAAAGGAGAAATGTATTTAGTGCTCTTTCAGGAGGGAAAAACTCCATGTAGACTTTTTCTCCTTTAATACATAATGTAATACAAGGCTGGGGGGGTAGAGGAAAATCTAGCTGTGTGATAGAGGCAGTATTCACCAACAAGAATAACTGTTCAGAAGTTACCTGTGTTGAGTTAATGTTTTCTTCTGTGTTTTTTAATAGTTCAGGTAAAGAGGAGTTATGTTCTCAGAACTTAAGCTCAGGTATCTACCGTTTCTGAGAGTTTAAAAAGTAGATGCATTCTGTTTTACAATTAAGCAAGGTTATTTCAGATTTCTGCTTCAAATCTGCATCTGCAAAAGATAATATTTGATTCTAGTGTCTTTAAAATTGTATTTCGAGGGGGTTTTTTAACATGCAGTTTGGATTTGGAATGCGCAGTAGACTCTCAAGGGAATATAAATTTAGTTGGGGGGGGATGTACTACTAGTACTGGATTTGAGATACCAGAACATTTGGAGGGCACATAGTATAATTAAGAATAATTGGATAGTTAAAACCCTCTTCAAGCATAGTCTTAATATTCTGTAATGTCACATACGCTCAGAAAGCTGTGCATATGTAAAGTACTGCATGTTCTCATAAATAAATATGTTCAATAGCCTGTTTTGTAAAAGTTCGGGGAGGGGGGAAAAAGCCCTGCATTAGGTAGGTGTTTAATGTTACAGTGAACTTAAAAGTGTAGTTTGACTCTTTTCCTAGAGCATTTTCTTTAACTCTTTTCAAAAATAACTCTTAGGCTTCATTGTCATGCAGGAAGGGTTGCTTTATTGGAAATTCACACTCTTGATAGTTTGTCTGTTCATACTTGATTTAAATTTTTGGTGAGGTGAATTGGATGGCTGAAGGAGTAATGCTTATACTGGACCATTTTCAAGTTGCTGGTTCATCTTTCCTAGTTACTCTGAAGCCTAGTCTTGGTTAGAGTTGGGTAATAAACCAAAAGAACCTGTGCAATTCCAACTTTGAGTTTGTCTTTCATCATAATTTGAGTCTTCTCCTTAATGTACCAGCATATAGAGTTTATTCTAGAATCACTTGGGAGCGAGAACAGCAGCTCCACGGTAGTAAAATCTATCAATGTCCAGCTCTCTCTCAGAATCATATAGCTCTCTTGTGCATATAGTTACTTTTTGGGGCTAAGCTGGAAGCTTTTGTAGTCTTAAATCTCCCAGAATAATTGGCAAAGCTTCCTTTTTCCTTTCAATAAAGTAGTGCCTATTTTTACAAGAATTGAATACTGCCCTTGTTCCCAATGCTTTGAAGAGTTTTTGTGGAATGTTTCCCCCATAATAATTTTCCTGTTAAACTTTATAACAGAAAATTGGAATGTGCTTTTACTTTATTTTATTCTTTTGCCTTGGGCTTATGTAAACTGGTCTCGGTGATTATGTACATTTTTTCCATCTTTAGTGCACAGTGCTGTGGTAAACAGTCTTTCCTTTCACCCCTCTGGAAACTATCTGGTTACTGCTTCCAATGATTCAACTCTTAAAATTCTGGACTTGCTAGAAGGAAGACTTCTGTATACTCTTCATGGTCACCAGGTGAGACAAAGCCTTTTATACAGTAATGTACAAACCCATAACAAACTGGGCAAATTTGTGCTTGAGCCTCTTCATGGCCAAAAATCTTTTAAAAACTTCCTTGCATAAAATGATGATGATAGTACTAATAATAATCTTTGGGATCATGACTGTTTTGAAGGGAGGGCCTATGGAGGGGGAAGAAGGTAAGGCAGGAATGGAGAGGATGAGAAAACAAGACAGAAAGGGAGCTCCAGTATTGAGGATGCAAGTCTAAGTCCTAAGGGGCACAGTCAGAGCTGCACCCCAGACTCTAACCCTGGGTCTGTCGTGCACTCTCTGTACCACAGCTCTGACTCCCTCGCTAGAGTGGTGCAAATAACACTTGGGCCCCTGACTTAAGTGTTATGAAGATAAATGCTATTCACCTGACAGGAGACTTAGGGACAGTAGTGGTACAATGGAGGAAATATGTTTTGAGTCGTGATTTAGGAACATGTTTCCATTTTGTTAACAGTCTGAATTAAATAATTGAAGGTGATAAATGCTGCTGATTGGTTAAGTTTAACTGATTGGCCTATTAGTATTATGGTGCTGGATGTGTTGCGTGTAAGTTTAATTATATGAATGCTTGGAGCTCTCTTTATAAACGTTAAATGAAAATAAATAGACTAATTTCATTGTCCATGCTGAGTGGGGCTCAAAGGCATGAAAAAGCAGACCTGCTTTAAAGGTTTCCTTTCCAAAGGGACAAAGAGAACAAATTCTTAACCCACTTGTCTCTCTGTTTAAAATGGGGGCTGAGTCTTAAAGCATCAAAACTAGCTGGGGAAAAATCACAGCCTGAAGCTGTTGGGGGTGGTGGACATGGTTCTCAGCAATAATGGTAGCTGTGTAAGCTGCAAAACTGATAATTCTGGCTTCTTGTTGCTTTATGTTTAGTGACTGCCTTGTCTGATGTCTAAAAAGGTCAAGTTTGTTCTGTAACTTCTGTTATACTATGTGTTAATAAATTTTTCTCCTTTTTTGGAATAGTAATGGAAAAATAGGACAACCTTATACTTAAAGCTCTACTTCATGGGAAGATCTGATTAAAACTGACCAAAGGGTTCAAATGCTGAAAAGAACGAGGGAAAGATAATAAATGCTGGCTATCCTAACACATAAACCGCAACTGCATAAAACTTTCTTTCCTTGAAAACTGGACTAAGTGGATACTTCTGTCAGATAGAGGATGCAAAGCTTCTAACTGTTGTCCTAATCTCATTTTCATATTTGTCTTTTGTATTAATTGGCCAAGTGAGTGCTTAGGAAGTAGCTTTCTGGAAAAGGGTAAGTGTGGAGGGACAGTGGATCTTTGCACCTATCATCCTTGCCTCAGGAAGGGATGTGCCTGGTTATTGTTCGGCAGCAGGCTGAACCTGCTTTCCATTTTCCTCCGTTCTGAGCTGTAGGCTGCTCCTCGACACGTCCAGTAGCACAAAAAAAGTTTTGCTTTGAATGAGAGTCCAAAACTCATTATGGTGATGGAGGTCTTCAGAATTAGGCAATAGAAGGTCCCTTTAGGCTGGTGCTGCACTTAACTCAGGGCTTCTACAAAACAGTTGGTTTGTGAATCATCTGTTCAGAAGTAGATTTAAAGCTCTGTATTATTCCCCCCCGCACACACTGTTTCAGATCAGTTAGATGTCTGCCACTCTCTGCTAGGTATCTAACTGACATTGGAAATGCTTTGACACTGGCACAGCTGAAGGGTAGGTGCTGTTGTGGGATTACACCTCCTTTGGTTTGGAAACAAGTAGAAGTATAAAAGTGGTGGTAGTGCTTTCTGGTCTTCTTTAAGGGTATTGCACTGAGACAGCTGTGCAGCCAGTCCTGGCGTAGCCCTGGGCAGGCATTCCCTCTGCTGGCACGTGCTGTATTGTTGTGGGTTGGTTCTTTTAATGCCTGATTTAACAGGCATTATAATAATAACAACAGGCATAATTTTGCTTTTCCACTAAAAGTATATGATAACCTGTGCTTCATTCACAGTAAGCAACCGACAGTGACAACAGGCCCTGCTTTCATCAGAAGCTGCTGGGGTGGATTCCTGCACTGGCTGCTTCTCTAGCCTGCTCTGCTCATAGATAAACACAGGCTACTTAATATTGAGGGCTTTTTTTTTTTTCCTCCAGCCTCACTGTGATTTCTGCTAGTATCTCCAAGTGGCTAAAAATGAAGTGAGTGTGGATTTTTTGGTCATTAAGTAGATTTGCCTTTTTAAGTGTGGGCTATAGGTTAGTCACCAAATGAACAGCCTGTTCTGAAGACATTCTTGAGTTGTGACTGTGGGTGAATATGCTGGTTGAGACTTTGTTCTCACTCTGACAGCTGACTGCTGTTATGTTTTTCTGGGAAGGCTGCATGCAAGTGGACACTTGAAGGAAAAAAAAATGTAAGGTCTTTAGACATACTTTGACGCAACTGCTGGAGTGCCAGGAATTTGTTAGCAGCTGATTAGCTGTAGTTTACATAGGGAGGATTGCCAAGTTTACATTGCTGTCTTTAATTGTAATGTAGCTGGCCCCCTTGTAGCAGAAGGATCGTTAGAGACAGGAGTTTGCAGCTTGGAGCTGACATCTTGCAGCTGTGAAATATCATTCTGTATTGTGCTGCATATTTTAGTTCTGGAGTGCTTCAAGCTGTGAAGTACTCTTGTCTAATTCCATACAGATGAGACACCAGGTTGGTATGTAGGTTCACCTCTGGTACTGAATCATAGTTGAGGAACAGAATGTCTTGGGGCCTGTAAGTCCCCTCCGGAGAGTTGCTAGAGGAGAGCACGTATGTACACAGTGCCTGTCTGCCCTTTGGGGTGCTTTGATTAGAGCATTTCCAGACTGACTTCCTTAGTGGAATGGAAGTTCTCAGTAAATATTTAGAAAACATCTGCGTGGTTATGTTTATAAATAGGAAGACAGAAAATGCAAAGTTAATTTCTGCAAGCAACCTTGACTTGAACCATGAAGTAGCTGCCTTCCGCCTACCTGGGTGGTGTAAGTGCTCTAAAGAGCAAGATATTCTGAGCAGGTGCACGAGAAGCGAATGTGCTCCTCTACTGTCTGCTACCAGCTCTACCTAGGTGGTATTAAACATCCGTGCAGGCCTAGTCATCTTTGAAGGGTGTGAGGACATGTCAATGCTGCACAGAACTGGACCAGCAAAGGGAGAGGAGGGGTGTGTTGCAAATAACAAGCAATTGATTTTAGATTAGCATTAAAAGGAAATATGAGTGTTCTATTTTTTTTTTTAAAACTGAAGCTTTCAGGAGTTAAAAAGCTACTGAAGATTCAATTATAAGGTGTCAATATAATTTTTCCTTATGTTAGCTGTAGCCCTTACTCCCTGGAGAAGGAAGGTGCAGGCATGAATCTTGCTCTGTGTAGTGATACGGGAGTTTTTCAAAGCTCAGGGGACTGAGAATCCTTGTGACTTCTTGTCAAAGGGATGAAAACATCCCTTGTTGCCATTGCCATCTCTGTCCCCTGTGCTTTTCTCCTTGGTTCCCTCTTATTCTCCCTTTCTCTCCTTTGTGTTATCACCCTCATTGTGCATTTCTAGGAATCTGCCCTTTTTAGCTAAACACTTTTCTTGTCCTTACCATTAGAGATGTGGATTCTTTCCACAGCCCCTATTGCTTTCCACTCCATCCCCACTCGAGGACAATACTCAGCTCTGTCCTGTACCTCTTGATTTGCCAGTGTGCAATGCCTGTGCTGACACCTTTTCCCCTCTCTACATCGTCTTTGGGGTCTCTGTGTTGTTGGTAAAAAAAAAAAACAACAAACATCCATGACTTTCATAGCTTTTTTTTCCTAGCTCTTGCTTCCTTCTAAGGTTTGGATTTTCCTGTTGGATGCTGCTTCTGCAGGATATGTGCTGCATCCTGCACCAGATTGTGAAACAAGTGTGTGTAACTGTCATCTGTCTTGCCCCTTGTATTTCTTCCTGCCTCTGTCATCTTCTCTGAATTCAGCTTTCTTCTCCTACTATGTATCCTGCTATTGTCTTTCACCTTTTCTGATGAGATTGAATAAATCTTCATAGCTGTGGGTTTCCTTGCTGCAAGTTTGTCATTGATCCTGAGATACAGGCTCAGTGCTTCTGCCTTACCAAAAGGTCTGTTAATTTGAATTGGTCTTGACTGAACTCTCTTCACTACTTTATCTGCTGCTGAAACCAAGCGATAGGTGAAAAACACACGACATCAGCATCTTGTCTCAGGCCCTCCGTTTTCTTTGGTACTTGAACGCGTTTATCAAGTTTCTTACCTGCTCTTGGTGTTTTCCTAATTGTCTCATTCACTAATTCTTTGCATCTTTTTCTCTTCTACCCTCTGTCATTTCAATGTCCATCTGTCCAAGTGTGACTTGCCCTCTTCTCCTGTGCCATGAAGCAGTTGAAAACACTGTGAACAGCGGCAATGACTGATCTGTTTATTTCTTTTATGCCTTTGACTGATGATCCCATGCCTAGGATCCCAGCATGCTTGTTGCTGCCTCTGATTTGCTTCTCAGACCTCATCACCACTTGTATCTCCTTTTTCTCTTTGCACTAGTTAATCTACTCCAGGAGAGTTTGACTGAATGTACTGGCTCCTATCTTCCCACTTGTACATCTCCATTTGTGGGCAGCGGAAGAGGAAGCTCCCCTTTAATGCAACTATTCGCATCCTCTAGATATGCCTTGTTCTAGCTCTTGGCACCTCCTTTACTCTTATCTGGCTCTTCTCTGGTATGCATTAATCTCTCCCAGGATTAAAAAAAAAAAAGAAGAAAAATCTGCTGGCATCCTTGATCTCACTTGTCTCTCCAGCTACCCCCCTCTCTGCCTCTCCTTTCATCGTGCACAGTGAACATCACTAAACTACTCTCCTCTGATTTATTCCTGGACCCTCTCCAGCCTGGCTCTCGTTTCTTTTGTTATGCTGAAGCCAAAATGTTATCTCAGTTCCTAGCTGAAGCTCGCAAGTCTGGCCT